CTCCCCCCCCCACCACCAAGAAGGGAAGCGTAGCAGCCTGGCTCTTCCTAGAACGAAAGTTGGTGAAGCTACATGTAAAGGAGATTTCTGGGATGTTGGCAATTTTCCTTTAGTTCAAAGCATGCTGGCTTTAAGACTAGGATATTTTGAGTTTAGAAGTTGAAAGGTTTTTAACAGAGAAAGGGTGGACTATACAAAATATACGGAGACAGTACTGCAAAGGTAAGAAGACACGAAGGTACCTTCTCCCAGCCCTATCTGCTTGACCAGATTTTAAACCAGGTCCTTGAATAACCTAGTCTTCCATTTGACCCAGCATTCAGTGGTGAAAGTTCACGGGGGATTATGTGCTCACAGTAATGTCGCTATCTCATCTGTCAGGTAGAGCAAGTTGATAAAGGGCCCTTTTTCTTTTTGGAGAGTTAATAACTTACTCTAGAGTAGACTTTAGTTACTGGAACTTGATAACAACCAACACATGAATTAAGTAGCTTGCATCACTGCCAGATCCAATGCTTGCACAAATTTAAAGAAGTACTCAAAACAACAGAAAATATTTGTGGCATAAATATTAAAACACCATTAACTCTACTATTCAGTAATATAACGAGGCATTGAATACAACAGGTACTAAAAATAAGTCTAGACCGGGAATCAGTTTATTTACAAAAACCATCTCAATCCAGAACATGGTCCCATCCAGGTGGAGGACCTTGGTGCTTTGGCACAGTGGCAGAAGGCCTCCCTGGCATGTCAGAGAACCTGGGATCAACTCCCAACATTGCCAAAAATAAACAAACTTAACAAATAAACTAACATCCATGTCCTCATCCGAGCTTATCTTATTTGAGGAGACAACCCTTGTACCCAACTGTGAGATTATAGTCCTGTTGGTTATTCCTCTCACTTGCCTACCAAAGTGCTGGAAAGAGACCTCTCAATCAAAAAACACCTAGGTCCTGGAGAGCCGGCTCCGTGGTTAAGGGAGGTCACTGTGCCTGCAGAGGTGCCAAGAGCATTCGTATCTGGTGGCTCACAGCCCCTGTTACTGCAGCTCCAGACAGAGGCTCCTGAACTCAGGTGCCAACATACACACAACTGAATAAATTAAAATAAATCTTAACTAATCAGTGAATTCTAGGTTGAAATACTAGAGCAGTGATCTATCTCCGTAAGTTTTATAGCAAGTTAATGCTGGGGTCTGGGGGTATAGCTCAGTGGTAGAACTCAAGGTTAATGAGCACACATATACAGAAACCTACAGAAGCATACATACATGCACAAACACACATGAACATTCGTACAAACTCAGGAACATACACACAAACATACACAAATACACATAAACACACACACATATACACAAATATACACAAATAAACATACAAACAGGAAGACACGCATACTCATGAGCACATTTGCACATATAGACACATACACAAACACACACACTCACAAACACATGCACACAAACACATGCATAAGCACCCACAAGAACACACACTCATGAACACAAACACACCAACACACAAGCACACATGAACACTTGCACACACAACACAAACACACATAAATTTGAGCACACACACAAACACATGCGTAGCACATACACAAAAACACACGTCAACACTCACAATACTCATGAACACATATACACACACAGGAATACACTCACACTCAAACACATGCTCAGTTCTGCAGCTTATTGAGGTCCATGTGCCGTGTTGGTGGAACTCAGCTTCTAGATGCAACTACAATGTTCTAACTGGCTATGAGGAAACACACGTGCATTGAAGTGGTTTCTATTCTGAACATTTTTATTTATTTAAAAGAGTCATAGTAACTTGAGCTATGAAATATGATGTAGTTCTTTAAAAATTATAGAAATAAAAAGTAGTTTTATAAAATGCAGACAGTGACTTTTATGGGCAACTATTTTTGTCATAAGGGGTATCAAAGTAACTCATCAAGAGAAGCAGGGCGACTATATCCACATAAAAAAGACGTTTACTTCACACGAATACAAAAAGAAGCACAAGATGAATCAGAGGCCTCAGGCTAAGGCTCAATGATGAAAACTTGAGAGAAAGCATCGATGTCTTTGTTCACTTGGTTTCTTGGACAGGATGCTAAAGCAAAAGAAACAAAGACAGCGTGAGTAGATGTCATCACTTTTAAAACTTTGCTGGGCGTAGTGGCCCGTGTCTTAATCTCTGAGTCTGGAAAGTGGATGTAGGAGGATTGAGGTTCAAGGCCAGACTTGGCTATATAGAGAGTCTGAGGATAGCCTGGGTTGCAGAAAACACTATCTCAAAAACAGCAAGAAAGCAACCAAACCAAACAAACAAACTGTTGTGCCCAGATCTTAAGGGCCCCAAAGAACTCCAGGAGCCAGACCACATGTGCAAGAGCAAAGAGCTTTATTCGGGCTTAAGCTCAGTCTCTCCATTGTCACCAACACAGTGGATCAGAAAGGAGAACCCCGAGCAGCTACATGGCAGGGTTTTTATTCGGGGTTTGAGCAAGAACCTGGAATTCCCAGCTTAGCAGTTACACAATTGGATGATATTCAGCAAGGGCAAGCTTGTTACAAAGTGATTGGCTAACTAATATAACTAACGTTACATGTAGACCTCATGAATGTTAGGTCAGTGGGCTGCCCAGCACAGATGCCCCACCCTGAGACAAGATACCTTCCCATTCTTGTGGTTACCTCCAGGCTATTCCTTGGGTAGGGAATTTTATGGTTTTCTTATTCCTGGAATTGGTGACCTATAGCCTAGTTCCTGGGACTGATGACTTTTTGGGGAGGGGGTCAGGCATGGTCCTTTCATTTCCCCCTCAAACAAGATACAATCTCAGATCTTTGAGATGGGTTCAAGGGCTAGTATTGAGGACCCCCTCCCTTTTTTTTTTTAATTCTAGGTATAGTCATGCAGGGGGCACAAAGCATGACTAGAAGAGACAGAACTAAGGGACAATTTTCTGGTATGTCAATTGACATTATAGAAACTCATTCCTTATGCCAGGGAACCCCTTTTGACAGCATTTCAGCCTGTTAGGCAGGATAAAGGCCGACAAATTTCTCTTCTTCTGTAGCTTCTTCAGGCTGACATGGGGGCTGAGATATTGGGGACCCAGAAAGGCTGACAAGCTAGTCAAAAGCTAGGCAACAGGGCACCATCTAATTAGCGATCCAGTTTAAGAGACAGGGAGCCATAACGTCGGCTGGACTGGTTTACTTCAGCTTTCAGCAAGTCCAGATTTCAGCCTGCAATCCATAGCTGATCCCTGAATGAAGTATGTCAGCCAGGTGAAAATCTGCTGAGACAAATTCAGACTAGAGACAGAAGTTAAAATTTGTCTAGTAAATGGGGAAAGTGAGGAATCCCAAGACCAAAGGAAAAACTTGTCTTTGATCCATTTGAGCTATGGCAGATCCAGGTCTCATGACTTTGATTTCCTGAAACTCATATGAATTTTAGTTTACAAAAGGAAGTATATTAATATCACCATTGTATTGAGATCCATACTTTAGAAAAAGCAGGTAACAGGTGTCTGCAAGACAGCAGAAGTAGACTCATGCCATTAAGACCTAGTAAAAGCTATGGCTTTTGGGTCAGAAATATACACATTTGACAGAGATGCTTTTAGCATGATGAGAAGCACCTTTAAGTCAATTTCCAGAAGACAACCAAAGGGAAATTAAAATCTCAAGTTTGTGACTGAATAATAAGCAGTCAGTGCGCCATCAGATTATCAGAACTCTGTGGATGAATGTTGTAACTCTGAACCTTTATAACAACATAAACACAATGATAGCATGGGGGGGAGGGGAGAAATCTGAGATATCTCCCATTTTTATATGCCTTAAAGTACTTTCTTGTATCATTAAACTTACATTCACATACCCTAAAACACCTACTTAGACCCACAAACACTTTACAACTTGCATTTACCAACCTTAAAATACCTATTTAGACCCTCCAATCTTCCTTACATCTACCAACTTTGAAACACCTTCTCAGAGAGGCTTTCCTTCATAACTTTCATTTACCAACCTTCAAATATCTTCCTAGATCCTCAATTTTTTAGATCCTCACAACTTAATCTTTCATATCCTCAGACATTACATGAACTTTACATCTTTTTGTCCAGTTATTCACCATAAGACACAGGTAAACCAGTTTACCTTTCTAAATAAGAGATCTAGTACCTAGTAGTTCTTACTAACTAATGAATTGACCAGTGAACTAATAGTGGGTCTAACTGTCTGCTCTCTAGCTTCAAAGCTACCATTAGATTAGCTTAGCCATTAATGTGATCACAGACCTGAGAAGGATAAATTACAAGCTAAATAAATGTACCAATCTATGTACCAATGACTAGTCAGTCCTTCACCTAGGCAGTTGTCCCTGGCTCCTGTGGTCTCATGGCATCATGAACAGAGGCAGTCTGGCCATCAGGCAGATGGCCAGTTCTTTAGAAAAAGAACATGAGAGACTGATCTCACCTTGTCTTCAGCACCATGAAACAACACTCCAACCTTATACTTTTATATTTCAAATAATACCAAAGAGAATTCATATAATAGTAGACACTGTGTTCCACTGTGTATCTGATGAGAGGTTTGTGTCTAGATTATGCACATGAACTCTTACAACTCAGTAACACAAAAAGACAAATCACCCAACTTGAAAGTGGATGGAAAACTGGATAGGCATTTGTAGGAAAAAAAAAAATCCACAGTGAACGTTAAGCTAGAAGGAACCTGTTGGTCAGATCACAGATACTTGGTGCTTCTGGGAGAAATTAAAATTCAACTTTGAGTGTTTTGCCTGGGCATGTTTTTGCTTCAGCAGCCAAAATAACCAGTTACCAGGAAGGCTGGCCTGCTTCCTGGATGTGGCCAATGAGCTGTGCCTAACAATCAGCCAATCAGAGCTGAGCGCTTCCCTGGGGTTGGCAGCCTCATTTGCATACGCACCCTGGGTGGGAACGGTCTCAGCTGAAGCAACTCTTCATTTGTTCCTTCAAATATGCTTGAATTTTGTACCGAAGTCTCAACTTCCCTGGCTTGAAAACTGCTTGTTTTTGAAACAGAGCCTCTCTTCTCGCCTTGAATTCTTTCCTGGTGAGTTTGTGTTGACGATAGGAATGAGCAATAAACCCAAGAAAAGATGCTTGCTGTAATTAATCCCCAGGAAAACACAAATCAGAACTGAACTGGGACACCACGAGATAGCCACTAGGGTGGCTAGAGTCCAGTGACGTAGTAGCAGGGGTCCGTGAGCATGTGGGGACATTGGGGCTGTATTAGTTTTGCATACCCGTGACCAAAATACCCCAAGAGAACAGCTCATGGGAGGGAAAGATTTATTTGAGCCCACAGTTTCAAGGGTTTCAGCTCGACTCGGCTGTTTCAGAGCAAGGGTGAAACGTTGTGGGGGTGTGAGTGTGTGGTGTGGACCTTTATTTTAAAACAGTGTCCGTCCGTGTGCGTACCTGTGCGTACCTGTGCGTGCGCCACGCAATGCCTGTGTGGAGGTCAGAGGTCAACGTGCAGGAGTTGGTTTTCTCTGCTCACTACGTAGGTCCTGGGCGTCGAATGTGGAGCATCAGGCTTGATGGCAAGATGTCTTTACCCACTGAGCCATCTTGTCTGGCCTGGAGGACCTTCTTCGTCTCCTGGGCTGAAGCAGAGAGCAAGACAGGAAAGGAGCCCTCAGGCCTTCAGAGCCCCACCCCCAGGAGCTTCCTGCCAACTCCTTACACCTCCACAAGCTTCTAACGCACCTTCACCATGTGCTCCACACTTCAGCCCGTGGGGATGGGGTGAGATGAGGGGAAGGGCTCTGTAACGCTGTAGCAGGAACCCCCTTGTGTTGTTGACGGGAGTGGGAGAGAGTCATGTGGGAAAGAATGGGGCAGCTTTGATTATCGTTCTTAGACTTATTTAATTGTAAGGGGGTATGCGTGTGCCCTGTCATGTGTGTGCCCTGTCATGCGTGTGGAGACCAAAGGACAGCTTGCAGCGTACTATGAGGGCCCTGGCAATTGAACTCAGACTGCCAGGCTTGGTGGCAAGTGCTTTTACCCACCCAGCCATTTTGCTGGCCCTAAATGTGACACTTTTCCCAAAGGCTAAATTGTATCATATCATATCATATGACCCAACTACTATCTTGGGTGTATAAACCAAAAGAAATAAGAATATGACTACATAAAAACTCATATATAGAACTGTCCGTGGCAACATCTAAAAAGCAGGCATAACTCGTATGAACCTTGAAGACATGCTATGTGAAAGAAGCCAAGGACAAAAGAGCACAGGGTGTGTGATTCCATGGTGAGTGCTAGGTCCAGAGCAGGTATCCGTAGAATGTAGTTTTTTCTGTGTTTACCTAGGGATAGAGTGGGAAGCTGAAGAAAGGTAGAAAGTACTTAAGGGGTACAGAGCTCCTTTTAGAGGTGATGAGAATATTCTAAAATTGATCTCTGGAATGCCTGCATATTCTTTGAAGTGTCACATTTTAGACCTTAAATGGGTGGTTGATATGGCACACCATCACATATAACCAAAGACGGAAGAGATGCTTTGCTGCATCGGGTCAGAGATGGCGGGTCGGGCACCACTCCACATGCTCTCTCCTCTTCTGCCAGCACAATGACGGAAGCATCTGCAGATGGCAAGGTGGACGAGCAAAGCAGCTGAAACACAGAGCCAACACATGGAAGTCCTGTTCTGGATCCTCAGACCCACAGCTGAGTGATTTTGAGCAAAAGAGAAACAATTTTGTGTGTGTTTTTTAAACATGAAACACTCATTTTTTGTTGAAAGAAGATTTAGAAATAGTTTATCTAGTCTAGAATTTCTCAACCTCTTATCAATATTGACATTTGCATGAGATAATTCTTTGCCACAGAGGTAAAAGAGTAAGCTAAATAAATTTCCCCCTTCACCTGCTCTTTTCTAGGTACACTTCACAGCAATAAAAACCCAGGAAAGAATGTAACATGACCTCACCTGTGTCACTCAACTGGTGACCTTAAAACAGCCCAGTTGGGAAGTTTAGTCTTCTCCATCTTAGGAAGGTGCTCTTTTTTCACTCTTGATATACAGAACCGGGACTGGAGAGCTGGCTCAGTGGTTAAGAGCACTGGCTGCTCTTTCAGAGGACCGGGGTTCAATTCCCAGCCCCCACTTGGGCATCTGTTACTCCAGTTCCAGGAGATCCGACCCCCTCACATAGACACACATACAGGTAAAACACCAATGCACGTAAAAAAAAAAAAAAGTTTTTAAGAGGAGGGGCTAGAGAGATGGCTCAGTGGTTAAGAGCACTACTTGCTCTTCCAGAGGATCTGGGTTCAATTCCTAGTACCCGCACGGAAGCTCACAACTGTCTGTAACTCCAGTTCCAGGGGATCCAACACCCTCACACAGACATGCATGCAGGCAGAACACCAAGGCACACCAAATAAAAATAAAAATAAACTAAAAAAAAAAAAAACAAAAGCAAAACCAACCAACCAACCAAACAAACAAACAAAAACTGAATCTCCTACTTGTCCATTTGATATCAAGCAAGGAAGGCTTTGAGATGTGTTGGCAGATTTCCATAGATTCTTCAAAGAGGTCCTCTCCCATTTGAGGTTGATATGCAGTGTGGGTCAATTTGGAAGACGGGAAGAAGGTCCATTCCGTAGGGCTGCCTGAGGCTCACTCTTCCCTCTAGTTTGGCCGCTAACCATTGATCTTCTCACTTGATTCCACACCTTCACATATGAAGGAAGACTGTTCAGGGGCTGTGAGGGAGAGACTCAGATACAGCACTGGTCAGACTGCATGTTCCCCAGAGCATCTGAAATGTATGAAAAGATGCCATGGACAACCCTCAGGATCAAAAGGGACATACTGGGAATATGTTTTGGTATTTGGCCATTGGGGTGTATACACAAGGCTTGGCTGTGTGACTTAACTATCGTAGGAAGATAAAAACTTACATAAAAATGGGGCAGCTTAATAAAACACAGCAACATACTCTGCCAAAAGGTACCAAATGATAACAAAATCTGGGGAGAGAATATAGGCTACTAAGTCTATTGGAAAATCCAAACAGGATTTTAAATGGACCTATGTTTTTGCCATTTTATAATGCATTTCAGACCCAACTGATGTCAAGTAAACTTATGATGATCATTTTGAAGGGTGTTTTTATTCATAGCAGCTAAGTAATACGTTATAGGGATAAAACCTATAATCAGGCCACTCTTTAATGTTTATAAGGCATTGATCCCACTGAATGAAAGAAAGTAAAGGCCACCAGATGGTGAGGGCACATGCCTTTAATCCCAGCACTTGGGAGGCAGAGGCAGGATGATCTCTGTGAGTTCAAGGCCAGCCTGGTTTGAAAACATGTCTGAAGATACAAAAAAAAAAAAAAAAAAAAAAAAAAAAAAAA